TCATGCTGGAGTTCAAGGAAGGATGGACCTCTCATTGGGATCCAGATGAAGACATCCTGCTCATGCAGGAGTTGCTGGAAGAAGGAGGTGGTCATCTGGGGGGGGCAGGACGACGAGCAGGTGCCTGACCTTAGCCAGCCGAGGCCATCGGGTGTTGATGATGCGGGCGGCCAGGCTGTTGGGCTGAGCGCTGGCAGTGCGGACATGGTGACCAATTCGGCGATGGAGGAGGAGGCTCGTGCTGAGGATACTTAGCGTTTTTTTTTATTATGTATTTTGGGGCCTGCGATGCCCTTTTGTCTGGTGTGTGTGCCATTTTTGTATTCTGAACTGGGCCATTTGATGCTATATATATAACATTTGACCATTTTGACTTCTGGTGTTGTCTCCTTGGATGAATGAATTGATCGTTGCTTCTTTATTTGTAGGTGCACTACATTTTGTATGTTACTTTAGAGTGGCCTAGTGGTTAAGGCATGTAGGCCTTATGTTGGGCTAGGTTGGTGCTTTGCTTGTCAATGGTGTAAGGACCATTCATTTGGTCTGGTCGACCGAGTGTACATTTCCTTGGATGACCGAAGTTAAACTGTAGTTTAGTTCTTGGGTCGGATCGGGCTGACTGGGTGATGTGGATCATAAGTCGTGCTGAGTTTCGTAGACCGAGTAGGGCCAATACTAAGGTGTAACTCGCGAATCGGGTAGGGCCGATTAGAGGATGTCACCATGAATCGATCAGAGTCGATTCGACGGTGTAAGTACGTTTATCGGGCAGGGCCGATATGGAGATGTCATCGTGAATCGAGCATGGTTGATTCGAAGGTGTAAATACGTTTATCGGGCAGGGCTGATTTGAAGGTGTTAGTATGTTTATCGGCAGGGCTGATCTGAAGGTGTCATCGTGAATCGAGTAGGGTCGATTCGAAGGCATACATACGTTTATCGAGCAGGACCAATTTGGAGGTGTCAGTACGTTTATCGGTAGGACCGATCTGAAGGTGTCATCGTGAATTGAGTAGGGTCGATTCAAAGGTGTACGTATATTTATCGGGCAGGGCCGATTTGAAGGTGTTAGTACGTTTATCGGCAAGACCGTTCCAAAGGTGTCATCGTGAATCGAGCAGGGTCGATTTGAAGGCGTACGTACGTTTATCGGGTAGGGCCGATTTGAAGGTGTCAGTATGTTTATCGGCAGGGCCGATCTGAAGGTGTCATCGTGAATTGAGTAGGGTCGATTCGAAGGTATACATATGTTTATCGGGCAAGGCCGATTTGAAGGTGTTAGTATGTTTATCGGCAGGGCCGATCCGAAGGTGTCGTCATGAATCGAGCAGGGTCGATTCGAAGGCATATGTACGTTTATCGGGTAGGGCCGATTTGAAGGTGTCAGTACGTTTATCGGGCAGGACCGATTTGAAGGTGTTAGTAATTTATCGACTGGGGTCAGTTTGGAGACAAAAAACTTATGAATAGTACTTCATTAAATATCTGGCCATGAGGCCAACTGTCTAAGAGGAGGTGGATAGGCCCACTCATCTTTTTAAAAATGAAAAAGAAAGAAACAAAGTTCACCTAGTAGTAGTAGCGTTTGAGGTGAATGGCATTCCAACCGTTGTTGATGTCTTTGCCCTCGGGGGTCTGGAGTTTGTAGGCGTCCTTCCCTGCTGCTTTGATTATCTTGTAGGGACCTTCCCAGGTGGGACCGAGTTTGCCAGAGTTGATCTCCTTGGTGTTTTAGAAGACTCTGCGGAGGACCAAATCGCCTATCTTGAAAGTACAGATCCTCACATTGCGGTTATAATGTCGAGCAGCCTGTTGCTGGTAAACTGCATTGCAGATGCTCGCCCGTTCTCATAGCTCGTCCACGGTGTCTAGGTTCTGGAGAGGTTGTGACTGTTTGATTCCTCGTCCGCCCATTGGAGCCTGGTGGATGGAACTGATACTTCAGCTAGGATGACTGCTTCAGAACCGTATGTGAGGGAGAACGGGGTTTCGCCCGTTGATGAGTGAGCTGTGGTTTGGTACGACCAGAGGACTCCTGGTAGCTCGTCTACCCATGCGCCCTTAGTTTTCTGCAATCGCTTCTTCAATGTCTGAATGATGGTTTTGTTTGATGACTCGGCCTGGCCGTTAGACTGGGGGTTGCGGGGAGTTGAGAAGCTCAGTTTGATTTCCCACTTGTCACAATAATCCCTAAAGCCTGAGCTAATGAACTGGGCTCCATTATTGGTGACGATCTCTTTTGGTATCCCAAACCTACAGATGACATTCTTCCAGATGAAGGCTTTTACCTCTCGATCTTTGACTTGTGCGAAGGCTTCGGCTTCGATCCACTTGGTAAAGTAGTCTGTCACAGCCAACATGAAGACTCGTTGCCCGGGTGCAGTAGGTAGCTTTCCCACGATGTCCATTCCCCACTTCATGAATAGCCAAGGTGTGAGGATGGAATGGAGTCGCTCTGGTGAGAGGTGTGAGACATGGGCAAACCTCTGACAGCTGTCGCACTTCTTTACGTAAGCGGTCAAATCGGTGCGTATGGTCGGCTAGTAATATCCAGTGGTGATCACTCGATGTGCAAGACTGCGGCCCCCTGCGTGGTTCCCGCATTCGCCTTCATGAAGTTCGGCTAGCACACTTTGAGCTTCTTCTGGGCTTACGCATTTGAGATAAGGGCTAGAGAATGACTTTCTGAGGAGTTGGCCCTCATATATGGTGAATCTGGTGGCTCTTGCTTTCAGTCGGCGTGCTTCATTCTTGTCAGCCAGAAGTTCATCATTTTCTAGGTATCTTACTACTGGAGTCATCCAGCAGTCGGCTTGTTCAATGCCCATGGCTTCTATATGAGACTTGTTCGGTGGTTGTTCCTTCCAGTTGGCTGGCTATTACATGAATAAGAGAGGAATGGATGACTTGGAGGAACATGGGAGTGTCGAGCCAAGGTTGGCGAGGGCGTCGGCATGGTAGTTCTCAACTCTGAGGATCTGCACGATGGAGAACTCTTCGAATTGGACCTACAGCTCTTGACCATGCTCAAATAGGATGTCATCTTTGAATCGCGTGCTTGATACGTGCCTTGTAGTTGGGAATCAGACTTTACTTCCAGTCTCTTGGCTCCAATTTCTCTGGCCAAGTTAAGTCCGCCTAGGAGGGCTTCATATTCGACTTTGTTATTCATGCGCTTGAACGCACATCGGATTGCTTGCTGGACGATGTCTCCCTCTGGTGCGATTAATACTATTCCGAGTCCGCTTCTATTGACATTACTCGATCCATCTACTAGGAGAGTCTACTTTGAGGGTGGTGCGCCGTTCATGCATAGTAGCTCTCTTTCGGCCTGGGTGGTGGCACTTGGCCTGAAGTCGGCAATGAAGTCTGCTAGTGCCTGGGAATTGACGGCGGTGCGGGATAGGTAGGCTATGTCGAACTCACTGAGCTCTACTGTCCATTGCATGAGTCGGCCTGATAGTTCTGGTTTGTATAGTATCTTCTTGAGTGAGAAGGAGGTGATTACAACAATGGAGTAGCACTGAAAGTACGGCCCGAGCTTCCTGGATGTATGGATGAGGGCGAGGGCCAGTTTCTCCAGTTGACTGTACCAAGTTTCTACGTCGAGGAGCGACTTGCTCACATACTAGACCGGTAACTGCTTTGATTCTTCTTCCCGAACTAGCACTATTGAGATGGCTATCTCTGAGACCGCTAGGTAAGAGTAGAGTTTCTCTCCGTCCATAGGTTTGGAAAGAAGCGAGGGTGTGGTCAGATACCTCTTCAGCTGTTGTAGGGCTTCTTCGCAGGAGGGGTTCCAGTCGAACTTCTTAGACTTCTTGAGGGCATGAAGGAATAGGTGGCCTTATCAGCTGATCTGGAGATGAAGCGGCTCAGGGCGGCCACTCGTCCTATAAAGCGCTGGACATCTCTGATTCAAGTCGGGGATGGTATGTTGAGGATCGTTCTAATCTGGTCGGGGTTCGCTTCTATCCCTCTCTGAGTAACCATATAGCCCAAGAATTTACCTGATGAGACGCCGAATGAGCACTTGGCTGGATTCAGCTTCATGTTGTACTTCCGGAGGACGGCGAATGCCTGGCTAAGATGGTCAAGGTGTTGTTTGGCAATCAAGGACTTGACGAGTATGTCATCAATGTAAACTTCCATAGTCTCTCCTAAGTAGCTGGAGAACATCTTGGTGACTAGCCATTGGTAGGTGGCCCCGGTGTTTTTCAATCCGAACGACATTACTTTGTGGCAGTAGGTTCCCTTCTCTGTGATGAAGGCTGTCTTCTCTTGGTCATCCGGATGCATCAGGATCTGGTTATATCCCGAGAAGGCATCCATGAAGCTAAGGAGTTCCCTGCGGTCGCATCTACCATCATGTCGATATGTGGGAGTGGGAAAGAATCCTTGGGGCAGGCTTTGTTTAAGTCAGTGAAGTCGATGTAGACTCTCCACTTCCCGTTCTTTTTCTTTACGACCACAACGTTTGCTAGCCATTCGGGGTAGTGGACCTCTCTGATCATGCCATTGCTTATGAGCTTTTCAATCTCTTCATTGACGATTCGGTTTCACTCAAGTGCGAATTTCTTCCTCCTCTACTTCACTAGTGGGTGATCCGGATCTACCTTGAGCTGGTGGACCATTGTGTCTGGACTGATTCCGGTCATGTCAGCGTGAGACCAGGCGAAGTAGTCTTCGTTCTACTTGAGAAATTCTATGAGCTTCTCTCTTGTCTCGGGTTCGAGGCGGGAACCTATATGTGTCTTCCTCTCGGGGTCGTCCAGATGTATTTGCACTTCATCCAACTCGTCAATGGTCGGTTTGTTAGGCTCAGTCCAAGGGGTTGGATGAGACTGTAGTTGCTATGAAGAGTTTCCTTTGCTCTTGAAGGCATTCTTGTAGCAGTCTCTGGAAGCTTTGGGGTCGCCCTTGATCTCTCGTACCCCCCACTTGGTTGGAAACCTAATCGTCTGGTAGAAGGTAGATGGGACTGCCCGCATGTCGTGGATCTAAGGCCGGCCCAAAATGACATTGTAGGGAGATGGGCAGTCGATCACCAGGAAGACGGTCTGTTTGTTCACTCTGCCAGCGTAGATAGGAAGGACTATCTCTCTAATAGTGTATTTCTGCTCCAAGCTGAACCCAACCAGCAGTGTCGACCACCTGTTGATGTTTGCTTCTTCTAGTCCCATTGCTTTTACTGCTTCGAGGAACAAGATGTTTGCTGACGAACCTCCATCTATGAACACCCTTTTCACTAGGATGTTGGCAATCTGTAGGAATACGACTAAAGCATTGTGATGAGGAGCGGCTAGGGTGACCGGTTCGTCATCTTCAAACTGAATTACCTTATGAGAGTGTGACCGTGAGATCGGATGGATGGACTGGACTTCATGATGGTGGTTGGCTCTAGCATACCGCTTGGCCGATGAGTAACTTACCCCACTGATCTCTGATCCTCCGAAGATGAGCGAACAGAAACCTTTCGGTGTGGGTTCCCGCGGAGGGGGTGACGGTTCTTTGGAGTTTTTCTGGCTAATGGCGTTCTTCCCCTTGTCAGTAAGCAGATCACGGAGATGTCCCCTTTTCAGAAGTGCGATAACCTCGAGTCGTAAGGCAATATAGTCTGCGGTGTTGTGCCCATGGTCGTTGTGGAACTCGCACCACTTGGTTGTGTCTCTCCTTGCCTTGGGATTGAGCTTGCCAGGCCACTTGACAATAGATCCCAATCCTTTCATTATTGCTACGACCTGGGTTGGTTCGACGTTGAGGTTATACTCCGGTATTTTTGGTCGATTCGATCCGAACTGCCTGTTATCATTTCTCGAGGGTTGGCAATCATAAGGCTTCCTGACTCTGCCCATATTGTGTGCTGGATGGTGGTAGCGGTGCTCTACTGGTCTAGGCTCTGGCTTCCTGTCGCTCTGCCTTGGTTCATATCTGGAGTGAATCGTTCGGTGTATCTCATCCTCCTCCCACCTTATTTGGATCACTGCTCGGGCCAGGGCATTTTCCATTGTTGTGCATCACAACTTTGTAAGTTTTTTGTATAGCTCTCTGTCCGGGAGGAGACCCTTCCTGAAGGCAGCTACGGCTGTCTAAGGGTTGCATGCTGGGATGGAAATCTTCTCTCTGTTATACCTGCTGACATATTCTCTCAATGGCTCGCCCCTTCTCTGGTATACTCTGTACAAGTCGGCTGACAGCTTCTCGAGTTTCTTGCTGCTAGCGAACTGTTCCACAAACGTGTCGGTGAGTTGAGCGAACGAATCGATAGATCCATTCGAGAGGTTTGTGTACCATTGTAGTGCTGGGCCGTATAAGCTTGAACCGAAACTTTTGCACATGCAGGCTTCCTTGAGTGGTCGGGTTATCGAGACGGTGAACATCCGCTACTTGTACGAGGCTGTGTGACCATCCGGATGGGTTGTGCCATCGTACATTTTCATGTTGGGGATAGTGAACTTCTGAGGCAAGTCGGCTAAGGCGATCTCGTCCATGAAAGGTGAATCCGCGTAACAATAGGGCCTGCTCTTCTTGGTTGGGACCGGCATTCCTGGAATGCGTCGCATCACTGCTTCCATGTCAGCCAATCTCTTAGCTTGTACATGTTCCATAGGAGAAGAGGACGCCACTAGGTCATCCCGCATGACCGAGTCGGCCTTTGCATTTATCTTTGGTACATTCCGTTTGGTCATCCCTCTTGAGGTAGTCTGACGAGTCCCTTTGTGCATTCCTTGGTAGCATAGATCTTCAGTCATTCCTTCCGGTTGGATGACTCCCATGGTAACTGTTCTGGTGTTTTGCCTTACATGGATTGTCAGGGGAGTCTTCTGATAGTCATTCGGTTGGTCAGGATCGATGGGCTCGAGCGCTGTTGGTCTAGTTTGGCTGTTCATCCCGCGAGGATGAGCCGAGCCGAGTGGAGTGGAGTATGTGTTGGGATGGTTAGATTGAGTTGGTCTTGTGGATGAGGGCTCTCTACCACCGGATCGTCTTGGTCTTGATGCTGGGATGAATCGGCTGATTGGTGTTCTACAGGCATATCTTTATCTCTATGAATTAGGACAGAATTATTGACCGCAGACGGGTTTAAGGGACGCAGCCTTTTGCTAGAGGCCGAGGGTCAGGGCTCTTGCGTAAGGAGAGGTTGCATGGGCAGAACAGTGGTGTGGAACCGATTGAGGGGTGCTTGGCCAGGAAGGAACTCTAGGTCAAAGAATTGACTCACCTTCTCCTTGAGGGATTGGTTTTCTGACCTGACGGACGCGTTTTTTGTCCGGATCGCATTGTTCTCAGCTTCCAATGCAGCCACCTTGTCCAAATTCTGTTGCATGAGAGCAGTTAGAGCTTCCAGTTTGGCCTTAAGGCCGGGATTAGCATTATCAGAGTTGTCAGCCATGGAATGTTCCTCCACGTAGCAAGGTTCATCGAGCCGAATGATTGCTAAAGGCCCTACGGTGGGCGCCAAACTGTAGACGTAAAAATCTACCTGTACAGAAGGGGGGTCTGATCCCGTAAGGTTGAGGCCACTAGCGATCTGCTGTACCTGCACACGTAAAGAAACACACGCGTGAAGCGAACGGGAAACACCAGGGCCGCAGGCACTCCGACGCTCAAGTCAGCAAGGCTGAAAGGCTAATATAGTGAGGGCTAGGAAGTAAAAGGTTACCGGAAGTCTAGTCAGGGACTGTGACTACGGCGGTGATGTAAAGCTCTAAAGTAGGAGCTTCGGGTGTGAAGGTGTAATGTCCTATCCATTGTGAGAGGGATGGCCTCTGCTTATATAGTGACTGTCTAGTCTCCTAATCCTGGTGGGAGTAGGAGTCCTAATGTGACTCTGATGCCAACCTTAGAAGAATTAGGGCCGTGGTAAGTTGTCTTACCAGTGTCCGGATAGGAAAGTGATTCTAATCAGAAAAGTAACTTCGAGTAGGAAAGTGTTCTGAACAGGAAAGCGACTTTGAGTAGGAGATTGATCAGGAACGAGAATATGATCAGTGCGCCGTGGATTCGGAACTTGCCTACAGGCCCATGAAGTGAACTCGAACTGGGAGGCCCGTGCCCAGAGGGTTTGGGTTAGCCGTATCTCGTATTAAATGGGACTGATCTGGCTTGGACCTCTTTAGGACTGGGCCCGGTCTTTTCTTCACTAGTGGTCCTGTTTTCTTATTTGGGCCAAGGACGATTTTTGGCCCTAACATACCCCATAGATTTTGTCTAAATATGAAATCCATATATTATAACACTGAGTAATCTTCATGCTGATTTATTTACCTTCATGTAAAATGCTACGTGTTTATTTTCCCCACTGTCTCATACCTTAGAAAATACGAAAAATTATACCTATATGGAATTTGGGTCTTTCTAAACCTTATGGCTTACGGGTTGAAATACTAGCATTAACACCCTAGATTATAACTGACATTAATGAGGAGTTGACAATAAAAGGGCATAAAGGAAATTGCACATGTACAATAATTTGAGTAAAAAACCAACCCTATGCCTCCCCTCACTGTTGGTCACCGTGGCTCCTATGCCTTACACCCTCCCACCTTCGAAATGCATTCTAACCTTCACTAAAATATAAAACAAACAGGCCCAACACTTTTTTGTTATTCCTATCCTACCCAAAATGCATATTTGTTTCTCTATTATCAAAATCTAATCTTATTATATTTAACTATTTTTAAACCCCTATAGGTTTGTTGATTTAACTAAATACTCCTGACAAAAAAAGTTCATAAATTGACAAAAATACCCCCACCCACTCACATTTGCCAAATTCTGGCCACCACCATCACTGAAAGGTGGTTAGAATCTGACATAATGGTGCACTATCGGCTGGATATGGTCGGTAGTACATCGATCTTGTCTTTTTCAGCCAAATCTACAACCAGATCTAGTTGTCAATGACAGTTAGATGTGGCCAAATGTGGCCGTAGATTTGGCATTTTTCGACCAGATCCACGGTGGATCTGGCTGGAAAAGACCATATCGATGCACAATCGATCAGATCCAACCGATCATGTGCCATTATACCAGATTCCACCACCTTCCAGTGGTGGTGGTTGTAATCTGGTAAATGTGGGTGGGTGGGGGTGTTTTTGTCAATTTATAAACTTTTAATTGTTGGGGGTGTTTAGTAAATTAACAAACCTAATGGGTGTTTTTGTTAATTTTTAAATCATATCTCGTAATAACAACCCAACTCTACTTTTTTTAAAATACTACTCTAAATAATAATAAAAACACAGCCATTCAATTTTTGTTGCTATTCATCATAATTAGACTTGGCAAAACAAGTACTGTACTTGCAGGTCCATCCGTACTTGAGTAATTTAAATGGGTACAAGTTATTATATTTAGGACCTGTGTAAACATTACCCGTATCCGGTCTGCCCTTTTTTTCTACGGGTGGGCCTGGTATACCTGTTAGTGCCTAGAAATAAGGGAAAAGACGCTAAGGGTGTGTTTGGTTTAGGAAATGTTGTATTATTAGGAATATTATATTAATGGAAAGATAAATTACCTTGAAAATTACTGGGAATGATTAGATAAATGTGTTTGATTGATTGAGATAAATTGATAGGTATGTTATATTAATATGTTAAGTTAGGAGAATAAATTGGTGGTTATGTTATATAATTTACTAAATTGCCCTCCTTTTTAAATACTAATATAAGATTATTTTTATTATTATTTTTTGAATAATTTTTTAACCCCTTACATTTGAGATATTGCTAAAACACCTCAGCAACCAAAAAAATTTAAAACTTAACAAAAACCCCCACCCACCCCAAGTTGCTGCCAGTCGCCTGTCACCATTGCTGACAATGGTGGAAGTGACTGTAACGGTGCATGAACGACCGGATCTAGCCAATCTTGCACCATCATTAACAGCCAAAGTTCTAGTCATTAACAACGGCTAGAGATTTGGCTATCGTTAACGGCCAAAAGCTGTAAATTTGGCTAGAAATGACAAAAATAGATTTGGCCATTTCTAGCCAGATATACAACCATTTGACCATTTCCAGCCATCAAAATGGTTGGAAACGGTCGTATCGGCGCACGGCGGTCATTTCTGGCAACTTCCTGTGGTGGCTGGTGGTGGTTGGCCAGCTACCGGTAGTGGTGGCTGGTGGGCGATAGTGATATTGGGTGGCCTGCAATTTATTTAAATATAAGAGCATTATTGTAGAAAAACTTAATTAAATAGAGGGAAAATTGTAATGGCAACTTAATGTATATTAATTTGAAAATAAGGGTATTATTGCTCAAAAAATTTATTAATAAAGGATAAAATTGTAACAAAAATAAGATTACCAAATAATTTTAAAATACCTAAAAAATTGAAGTAATCAAATTAGCTCCAACGATAGATGCTATTGATCTTGAAAGATTACCATAATCTTATATTACTTGATAATCAAATGTTAAGTATTAAGTAATAAAAATAACATCACCTGGTAATTGGATTACCCTCTACGCCCTGAAGGTTTAATGGGTTAGGTTACTTATCTCCTCTCCTTGTTAGTTGACTGACTGCCATTGCTATACCCATCCTTCATTTCATTTCATTCGCACTTCAACACCGCTGCCATCACCATCACCATCACCATCACCGGCGTCTCTCACCATCGACTATCCCCTCCAGCCTCAACTCTTCAAGTTCGAATACTCTTCCTCCTCTCAACTCAATTCCATATTGCTTTCTATAACAACCGATGTGTATTGAGTTTTTATTTTTTGGATTAATCTTAGTTTATGTTTTATGGGTTTTCTTTATCACTTACCTTTTGAGCTTGCAAGATCTGAAATCATAAGCACACGCTCTCATGTAATTAAAACCATGTGGGTTTTCTGGATTTTCTGAGTAGATTTAATTCAAGTGGGTGGGGGGGTGGTTGGGGTGGTTGGTGTTGGTATTTGATTAGGGCATTTTATTAAAAGACCATGTCAAGTTCAAATTTAATTAAAAGGCTATGAAGTTTTAAAGTGTTAACTAAATAGCCTT